CCTGATGCTGGAGATTAAAAGTGTGAAAGAGAATCAGTAGGACTGGACTTGGTACACTAATATTTGGATTGGACCATTACTGCCTTTCACATAGTGTTATTTAAGACAGAATAACTCAGACCTGGGACATGCACTGCTGACCTTTATCATAGCCTTGTTTGAGCCATGGGAGCCAGATTATACTCTCTGGGTGGGTGTTCCTACTGTCAGTTATTTAATTTAACTCACTTAATCTTCATAACAGCCATATGAGACAGGGCATGGGTTTGAAGAGGAAAGCTCTCTCTCTCTCTCTCTCTCTATCTCTCTTTCTTCTATGTGTGCATGTATGCACACACACACATGCACGCCTATGCCCACAGACACAAGCACAAACACATTCACACTCCCACTCATACTTCCACCACAGGGATTCTTAGGGCCAGTATTCCAGAGTGTAGAGATGCCTGGAGATTTTCTCTTGGTGGGGGTGAGCTAGCCATTGCCACATTGGGTGTTCTAACAGGAATTCCTTCTAGCAGTAGTACACTGTATTGTTATTTCATTCCTGAATCTGCAGTAGATTTTGTTAATTGTTTTATTATTATCTTAGCTGTGCCTGGAGAAGGAAGGGCGCTATCTGTGTCCATGCTAGCAGAGAAACTGGCTGGGCAGAGTGTTGCTCTGGAGAAACTGGTTATCACGTGGCAGGAGGGACCTGCTAGACTCCAACAGTGGTGCTAAATGATCAGGAGACTGATTTAGGGGGACGTGTAATAGGTCTGTGGGAAGGAAATCCCAAGGAAGAATGGGTTTCTTAAAGCTTATGGAATGTAGCTTCATGGTTTTTGTGATTTGGCTGTTAAAGAAAATGTGACCTTATTATGTTATCCCAGATTTGTGTGGTCTGTGGACTACTGAGGCCAATTCAGTTGTTCCTTTACTTACTCATACATTCCACAAATGTTTATTGGTTGCCTACTACGTTCTGGGACTGGGTTAGGCATGTAGTTACAATGATGACTAACAGTCTCTGCCTTTTAGGAGAATACTCCTTGAAGTTAAATATTAACAAATCAAATTGTAAGAAAATAACAAGGAAAATAAGAGCAGAAACAGAGAAGTGGAAAAAAAAGATGGATATATATTACTGTATAAACATTTTAAGTGTCTATAAAATGAAAATCAATGAAGGAAACTGAAAAAGGAAACAGGCTTAGGGAATTACTTGTACTAAATATGACAAGTGAGCTAATGGAATTTTAAATACATCAGCCTTTAGTCAAAGGTAAAGCCTAACACCAAATCCCTAAAGAACAAAAGGACACCAACAGCATTCAAATAAGAGGAAACTTTAAAAAATACCTTTGCATTAAAACAACAATAAGCTAATATCTCACACTTAATAAATTTAAAAGTGTGTGTAAGAGAAGTATAAGAAGCAGCAGAAAACTTTGAAAGAGGCTATGGAAAAATAAGCACCTAGACATTGCTGTTGTTGGTATAAATTAATTCTTAAATCTTAAATTCTCAATTTAATTCTTAAAAAGTGGCTTAGCATTAAACATTGAGAGCATAAAAATATAAATGCCCTTTTACAACTGAAGATTCATCCTAAGACAAGATTTAACTTTTTTTTTTTTTTTTTTTTGCGGTACACGGGCCTCTCACCATTGGGGCCTCTCCCGTCGCGGAGCACAGGCTCCGGACGCGCAGGCTCAGCGGCCATGGCTCAGCGGCCCAGCCGCTCCGCGGCATGCGGGACCCTCCCGGACCGGGGCACAAACCCGTATCCCCTGCATCGGCAGGCGGACTCCCAACCACTGCACCACCAGGGAAGCCCAAGATTTCACTTTTAATAGTAATCGCCACCTAGAATGCTTACTCCATGCCAGGCACTTTTCTAAGTGCTTGATGCATTTAATCTTCATTGCAGTCATATGAAGTAGGTACTTTTATTATCCCCATTTTACAGATGAGGAAACTGAGGGACACCAAGATTAAATAAATTGCTTAAGATCACATGGCAGAGCTGAGATTTGAAGCTCCTGGGACTGGACTCATAATCACTACGTCATGATGTTTTGATGAAAGAAAAAAGTTCTGTATACAAAGATGCTTATAGCATTATCATTTATAATGTAAAAAAAAATGGGGAGAAAACGACATGTTCCACAAGGGCAATGGTTAAATATAGTACATTCATTCAATAGATAATTATTCAACCAGAGTTGTTCAGAACTTTTCTTGGTATAGGACACCAACTTCACAAAAGTATTACCTGTCCTTTTGCAAGCCTTCTCTGTGTCTCTGTATCTTTGAGCCATTCATAAAGATCAGGAGGTTCTATCCCAATTGGACACTCTATTATTTTCTGCTGCAGCAGCCCATGGCTCCATATATTATGTCACTAGTTGGACGGAGTGTGGCTGAGTGAAAGTTCCTTAGGAGTATAAATTACCATCTTCCCTGGATACTTTAGACACATTTAATGAACTCATACATTTCTTTGACCTCATATTCTCACCCTTGTTACCTCACCCAAGTAAAGCTGTTTTTTACCGTAAATATATATATTAATGTAGTTATCAACACATTTCTTACATTAACAGGCTGTGAAGATCTAAGTAGGGTTTTGTGTTGGAAATGTTAGTAAAAGAGTTTCAAAATATTTAAAATAATTTTATTCACAGTAGTAAAAGAAAAAACAAGAAAGAAAAAGTATGTATTTTAGCATGTCTCTTCATATTTTTTCCTATTAATTACAAAAATAATACATCCCGTTTATTAGAAATCTACAATGTTCCAGGAACTATGCTAATCTTACTACATAATTTATTGCTTTTAATCTTCTGAATAGCCATAAAAGTAGGTATTATTCATTATTACCATATCACAGATGAGAACACAGAAGCTGGAGAAGTTGAATAACTTGCCCCACGTCACACAGTTTATAAGTGGAAGAACCAGGACTTAAACCCAGATCTGTCTGAATCCAGAAATCAAGCTGTGATTCATACCAGCTTGAATCATACCGATACTATCTTTTCTTCCTCTTCTTTTCCAAAAATAAATTTAGATTTACTTTCTCTAATGTTTAGTTCCATGATAAAGTTCTAATTCTGTGGTTACAAATAACATTATAACCAGTTGCCTAGGAAATGAAGAGGGTATCATAAATTAAAACTAGATGTGACTTACAATATTGAATATGAAAAAAAGGCAAAATTATGAAGTTCTTTGAAGAGAACCTTGCTGTATGATGAAATAAAGAAGAAAAACCAAGTTAAGGAATGTAAAAGTGGAATATGGAAACTTACATATATGTTTTACAAATATGTTTACTAAAAAGGAATATTGTGTACAATAAATGTTAATGCCAGTAGGGAATGAAAATTTGAAATTATCTAAATATGTACTGATTTCAACTTCAACCCTCTTCCAGAAGTATCCTTTTTATCCTCCCTCTGCTGGCTCAACCATATAAAGTACAACTGTACACACAGAAATCTCACTCATACCAAAGACTTTGTCATCTAACTCAAAGGCTGGCACCTGTTTCAGAGTGGCCAATTTTACCATTTTGACACCATGAGTAGCTTCCAATAGTTCTCTTACTTTTTCCTTCTTTATCTTATTTTTGAACTTGAGAAAAAAAAAACAACATACAAATGTAGGAAAAGACTGATTATTCTGAAGCTGTAACAGGGGTGGAGCCTGCACACAGCCTGACCATTAGCAGGGCAGTAAGAAGTCCCGCTCCGCCAACAGACAGCTCCACCAACCTCCAAGGGCAGTGCTCAGAGGGGCAGAGAGTGCGGTGAGAGGTGGAGCGTGGCCTCCTCCCCGGGCCCTGCAGGCGCTCGGGCCTCGGGACTGGTGAGTGTGCTGGGGGACCCGGAGACAGGCTGAAGGCTGTGTCCCATAGAGCTCCAGAGCCCTCACCACGGCGGCCCACTGACCGGGCCCAGGCCTTGAAGCAGCAGCAAACCTCTGCCCCATCTCTATCTCTGCGACCAAATGGCAGTGGTGGGCTCCATGGGTCGCAGTCCGTGGGACCTGGCCCACTTTGGGCGGCCTTAGGAGCCTGAGGGCAGCTGGGTCCTGGGCGCCTTGCTCCCTTAGTGATGACAGCAGGGCAGGGTCTGGGGACCTGGCCCTGAGGGTGCCACCCACTGAGATCTGCCTCTTCAGCCAGGCCTAGGCACTGGTAGGAGGACCCAGACTAGGTGCTGGAGGAACGCTCCCGGTAAGGGTAACTGGCTGGCACAAGGACGCCCTCCTTAGTCAGGACTTAGACCTTGGGGGGTGAAAGTTGAGCCTTGGGACCTTGCCCTTTCTTGCCAGAACAGAGAATAACATTTGTTTTGGTGGAGGTTTATAGGAACATCATGACCTGACCGTGACCTGACCTCAAGAACAAGGATCTGACACCAAGAACTTTGCGACCATTAACCACGCACCTCCCTTACCTTTCCTATAAAAAGGCTTTGCTGAAAGCTTTAGGGGAGTTCAGGGTTTTTAAGGCATGAGCCACCCGTCTCCTTGCATGGCCCTGCAATAAACCTTTCTGTGCTCCAAACTCCAACATTTTGGTATTGTTTGGCCTCGCTGTGTGTCGGGCACGTGGACTTGCGTTTGATAACAAAGCCATGAAACAAGTAGCCACCTTAATTAATTTAAAGCCTGTTCTGTCATACGACTCACCTTGGTAAACACACTTTTACAAGCCAACCACTCTTGTCAGTCTCTCACTTCTGAAAGTCAGCCTATCAAGGACAGACTCACTCCAATAGCATGCCTCTGAGTGGTACCCAACCAACAATAGTCTCACCTGAGTAACTATGCTTCTACAAATGATGTCAACCCAATTACACCTCTGAGAGTTCACCAGTTCTGAACTTCATGCTTCCCTAAATCCTTATATAATAAGATCGACGATGTATTCTGATTGAAAAGATTGTCTGACTAGCATCTCTTACTATAATAAGCAATAAGTTAGCTTTGTCTTTTTATTTCAGATGTTGAGTGATGGTCTCATTGGACAGTTTTGGAGGTTCCACCGAGATTGAAGACCCTCATTTGGCAGCATTCCAGGGAAGCCTGAGGCCAACAGGTACACTCGCTGGGCACATTGTGCCAAAATTCTATGTACTTTTCAGATATGCTGAGTCAATTTCAACAACAATCTGATCTCTGACTAGTTTCACTGAGTTCATGTTGCTGATTTTATTTTGTTATTCTAGGATTTGTAACCAAATATGTCTTTGTTTAGGCCTAGATTTTTGTGTAGAGCAATTAGATCTCTTGATTTAGAGATGCACCATTTACTAAAATAATTAAACCTAGGTCTTTGTATAAGATCATTATACCTTTCATTTTGGAGGCACGCCATTTGAGAAATGTTTTTTTGCCATTAACCTACTTATTCTCCTGCTGCTTGCCTTGCTTTTGCTGCTGTTTGTTTATATGTACCAAGTCTTATTTCCTGTGCTTTTGCTTTGACCTAGGTTGTTTTGTTTCTTTTTTCTTTTCCTTTTGTTCTTAATTTTTTTTTAACATCTTTATTGGGGTATAATTGCTTTACAATGGTGTTCTTAATTTTTTATTGGAGTATAGTTGATTTACAATGTTGTGTTAGTTTCTGCTGTACAGCAAAGTGCGTCAGTTATACATATACATATATTCACTCTTTTTAAGATTCTATTCCCATGTAGGTCATTACAGAGTATTGAATAGAGTTTCCTGTACTATACAGTAGGTTCTTATTAGTTATCTATTTTATATATAGTAGTGTGTATATGTCAATCCCAATCTCCCAATTTACCCCTCCCCCACTTTACCCCTTGGTAACCATAAGTTTGTTTTCTACAGCTGTGACTCAATTTCTCTTTTGTGTTTTGTTGCTTTTGAAGGTATAAGGGAGTGTTCCACAGGGAACAGCTGGGAGTATAAGCCTGATGAGTTTTCAATTCAATGCAAGCCAGACTTGAGGGCTAATTGGAGATCTGTTGGACCAGCAATCAATTTGTGAAAAAAAGAGTTTGTCAAACTTTATATAGGGTCCCCTATAAAACCTTCATGAAGGTACCCTCTTTCTTGTTAATCTGTTCACTTTGTTTTGCCCATACTCAAGCGTCAAGGATTGTCAGGTTGTTGACTGAATGGCCCTTTCTTAGTCTCTGCTAGGTTTGGCAACCCAAATACCCTTCAAAAACCCACACTATAACTGACTCTAGTGGCCTGTCTTTCTTGTGTGTTATGGGTTTGTCTATGCCAAAATCTCATCCGTCCCCTTGGAAGAGCTTCTGTTTCCTTTAAGAAGCACTGTAATCTAATTTCACACTTTTCTTGGTAAACAGCAAAAAATATTTTTGACTTAAAATAATAATGTCATGTTTGACATGTCCAAATCATTAAATTAATATCATTAAGAAGAACTTAAAAAATATTAGGAGACAAAATAAATAATCTAGTCAACTTGTTTAATTATCATGCTAATGCAGAAAACTATAAGACACTGATGAAAGAAATTAAAGATGATACAAACAGATGGAGAGATATACCATGGTTTTGCATTGGAAGAATCAACATTGTGAAAATGACTATACTACCCAAAGCAATCTACAGATTCAATGCAATCCCTGTAAAACTACCAATGGCATTTTTCACAGAACTAGAACAAAAAATTTCACAATTTGTATGGAAACACAAAAGACCCCAAGTAGCCAAAGCAATCTTGAGAAAGAAAAATGGAGCTGGAGGAATCAGGCTCCTGGACTTCAGATTATATGAGAAAGCTACAGTAATCAAGACAGTTTGGTACTGGCACAAAAACAGAAATATAGATCAATGGAACAGGATAGAAAGCCCAGAGATAAACCCACACACATATGGTCACCTTATTTTTGATATACAATGGAGAAAAGACAGCCTCTTCAATAAGTGGTGCTGGGAAAACTGGACAGCTGCATGTAAAAGAATGAAATTAGAACACTCCCTAACACCATACACAAAAATAAACTCAGGTTCTTTAAAAAACTAAAAATAGAACCACCATACGACCCAGCAGTCCCACTACTGGGCATATACGCTGAGGAAACCATAATTCAAAAAGAGCCATGTACCACAATGTTCATTGCAGCTCTGTTTGCAATAGCCAGGACATGGAAGCAACCTAAGTGTCCATCGACAGATGAATGGATAAAGAAGATGTGGCACATATATACAATGGAATATTACTCAGCCATAAAAGGAAACGAAATTGAGTTATTTGTAGTGAGGTAGATGGACCTAGAGTCTGTCATACAGAGTAAAGTAAGTCAGAAAGAGAAAAACAAATACCGTATACTAACACATATATATGGAATCTACAAAAAAAAAAAAAAAGGTTCTGAAGAACCTAGGGGCAGGACAGGAATAAAGACACAGACGTAGAGAATGGACTTGAGGACACGAGGAGGGGAAGGGTAAGCTGGGAGGAAGTGAGAGAGTGGCATGGACTTATATACACTACCAAATGTAAAATAGCTAGCTAGTGGGAAGCAGCTGCATAGCACAGGGAGATCAACTCGGTGCTTTGTGACTACCTAGAGGGGTGGGATAGGGAGGGTGGGAGGGAGATGCAAGAGGGAGGAGATATGGGGATATATGTATATGTATAACTGATTCACTTTGTTATAAAGCAGAAACTAACACACCATTGTAAAGCAATTATACTCCAATAAAAATGTTAAAAAAAAAGTTATCATGTTAAGACCTCAAAAAATTTCTAACTCAAGACAGTCTCTCTCAGAAACTTTGTAACCTTTTCAAACCTATTCACTTTGCATTTCTCTCTTATTTTCTACTCAGTTTTACTTGACTTTCTAAATGAGCTATTCTTATTTCAGGGTTTCCTCAGGGAAAGAACAATTATATTGTAAAATTTCTAGACCATAAGGTTGAGTTAAAATTCTTATCTAGAGCCAAGTTAAGGGACATAATTAAGGATTTTCCTAAACTTTGGAATACAGGCAGAAATTTGTTACAGAGTTTAATATTTTGTTATGCAGACATGTCAGGAATATTTGATTCCTTGCATATCTGTACCAAGGAAAATGCTTAATAAGCTGAAATATAGAAAAGAAAACATTTAAATCACCCAGTTATATAAACTTAAAAATATTGTCTTAAGAGAGCAATGCAAATTTTAAAATTGACTGCAATAAGACAATTTCAGAAACAATTATTTTAAGGGAAAAATTGTAAAAAAGGCAGAGGGCAGACAGCAGAGGCAAGAAGAACTAAAATCCTGCGGCCTGTGGAACAAAAACCACATTCACAGAAAGATAGACAAGAGGAAAAGGCAGAGGGCTATGTACCAGATGAAGGAACAAGATAAGACCCTAGAAAAACAACTAAATGAAGGGGAGATAGGCAACCTTCCAGAAAAAGAATTCAGAATAATGATGATCCAGGACCTCAGAAAAAGAATGGAGGCAAAGATTGAGAAAATGCAAGAAATGTCTAAAAGAGACCTAGAAGAATTAAAGAACAAACAGAAATGAACAATACAATAAGTGGAATGAAAACTACACTAGAAGGAATCAATAGCAGAATAACTGAGGCAGAAGAATGGATAAGTGACCTGGAAGACAGAATGGTGGAATTCACTGCTGTGGAACAGAAAAAGAAAAAAGAATGAAAAGAAATGAAGACAGACTAAGAGACTTCTGGGACAACATTAAACACAACAACATTCGCATTATAGGGGTCCCAGGAGAAGAGAGAGAGAAAGGACCAGAGAAAATATTTGAAGAGATTAGAGTCTGAAACTTCCCTAACATGGAAAAGGAAAGCGCCACACAAGTCCAGGAAGCGCAGAGAGTCACATACAGGATAAACCCAAGGAGAAACACACCAAGACACATAATAATCAAATTGGCAAAAATTAAAAACAAAGAAAAATTATTGAAAGCAGCAAGGGAAGAATGACAAATAACATACAAGGGAACTCCCATAAGGTTAACAGTTGATTTCTCAGCAGAAACTCTACAAGCCAGAAGGGAGTGCCATGATATAGTTAAAGTGATGAAAGGGAAGAACCTATAACCAAGATTACTCTACCCAGCAAGGATCTCATTCAGATTTGATGGAGAAATCAAAAGCTTCACAGACAAGCAAAAGCTAAGAGAATTCAGCACCACCAAACCACCTCTACAACAAATGCTAAAGGAACTTCTCTAAGTGAGAAACACAAGAGAAGAAAAGGACCTACAAAAACAAACCCAAAACAATTAAAAAAATGGTCATAGGAACATACATATTGATAATTACCTTAAATGTGAATGTATTAAATGGTCCAACCAAAAGACACAGGCTTGCTGAATGGATACATAAACAAGACCCATATATATGCTGTCTACAAGAGACCCACTTCAGACCTAGGTACACATACAGACTGAAAGTGAGGGGATGGAAAAAGATACTCCATGCAAATGGAAATCAAAAGAAAGCTGGAGAAGCAATACTCATATCAGATAAAATAGACTTTAAAATAAAGAATGTTACAAGAGACAAGGAAGGACACTACATAATGATCAAGGGATCAATCCAAGAAGAAGATATAACAATTATAAATATATATGCACCCAAGATAGGAGCACCTCAAGACATAAGGCAACTGCTAACAGCTATAAAAGAGGAAATCCACAGTAACACAATAATAGTAGGGGACTTTAACACCTCACTTACACCAATAGATAGATCATCCAAAATGAAAATAAATAAGGAAACAGAAGATTTAAATGACACAATAGACCAGATAGACTTAATTGATATTTATAGAACATTCCACCCAAAAACAGCAGATTAAACTTTCTTCTCAAGTGCACACGGAACATTCTCCAGGATAGATCACATCTTGGGTCACAAATCAAGCCTCAGTAAATTTAAGAAAATTAAAATCATATCAAGCATCTTTTCCGACCACACACTATGAAATTCGAAATGAATTACAGGGAAAAAACCGTAAAAAGCACAAACACATGGAGGCTACACAATATGTTACTAAATAACCAAGAGATCACTGAAGAAATCAAAGAGGAAATCAAAAAATACCTAGAGACAAATTAC